AGATATACAATGTTATGGCAGTAGAATGTTCTGCATTCAAAACTTTGGCTAAAGCTGCTACTTAAAATTACTTCCTGTAAATCAATTTTTTTACCTGTTACCTTTAATACATTGAAATTACAGAGAAATGGCATCACAATTAATAATGACAGGATCTAAGAAATTATTTGTTACTATACAGAACGATCTTGCTGCGGTTGTCATCCCTGGGTGTGTTGATGATATCTATATATCAGCTCCTACAGAGAGATGACCCAAAGTTTGAATACCAGTGTGGCAACAAGAGATGGTCATCTAGTCTGGATCCCAACTCAACCTCCAATGTCAACGGCAGTATCATTAAGGTAATATATCTTCTCTTCCATTGCTCTAACGTTAATGATATAGTTAACTTATCATCTACAAAAAATACTAGGGTGTATAACTCACATCCTGTGGTCAGAACTTGTGAGATCTGTCATAATTACTGCAGAACTTCATTTCCATTGAAGCCAAAACTGTATGATTCTATGTTCTCGATACATAATAATTGAAATATCTTAAAATAGAATGTATTACAGCACCTGGGGATCTTCATTATTCATTAAACTGTCCTGTACTTTTCTTTTCATATATCCTCTCAATTATTTTCTCTCCATCTACCATGTCTATCCTTCCTCTTTAAAACTGTTTTCTAATTTATCCATGCATCTAGCTGGCATTTAATAGTTGTAAATAGATAATTTACCGCAGTTTTATTTCTCATTTTCTTATCAAAAGCTGACAGTGATGGATAACTTGGTAAAAACATACTTTCACACCTGATAATATATGTAGATTGTTCTGAACTTAATTAACAAATTACACTCCTATTTATTTATTTGTGTACATAGAACCTTATGTACTTCATGGTGCTGTTTGGTTTATAAATCCTTCTGTCATCAGTGTTGGGAGACATATGTTGGACAGCAAATCTACAAATTGGTTATCCTGGACTTCCTAGTGCTCCTCATTGTCACCTTCATTGTTGAGTTACCCAGAAGGTGAATAATTTGTAAATCAACTTCTACTAATTATAAATCATTTGTGTACCAAAAAGATATTTTATCTTTCATAACAGAGTGGATCTGTTCTTTCATATAGGTAAAATTATTGATGTTTTGTTCTAAGTAAAATAGCTTGCGATTGATTCAATTGTAAATAAGGCAATTTATGTAAAAGAAATGCTCCGAAGTAAAAGACTTGATATAGCACAATTTGCTTATATGCCATCTATTGTCTTTATAAAATAATTTGTACACGAAGATGTATACAGGTAGATGTGAACTTGCTGTTTATTTCAGAATTGTATACAAAACCTTCAGTATGAGATTCAAATTGATCAACATGGTGGGCTTACCTGAAGTAGATCTTCCCAAAGTGGTTCTAGATATTGTTTATGCTCAAACTCTGTGTTGGTAAGTTGTTAGTTTTTTGAAAATATGATTCTAGCCTTCTACGATTTAAATCAGTTGTAAATTTGGCTGGATTGCCTTATCAAGACTTCAGTATATGTTGCATGTACAAATGTAATTGTCAAATCTGTTGGTAATGAGCCTTTAAATAGCAATTATATTAACTTTGAAAGGTAAAGGTTTGACTGTTTTTATTTCAGGATGGGTCTTTTCTTCAGTCCATTGATTCCCTTCATGTGTTTCCTCAAATGCTTTATTGTCTTTTATGTTAAGAAGGTAAGTTCATCTTCCTTCCTAAATCCTTGCAGCTCATTGACTATATATTTGATAATTTCCAGATAATGCAATTTTACACATGATATCAAGTTGTAATGTTATACATGCATTGTATTCAGAAATAAGATACTGGCAGAATGGCTCTGCAGAGAGTAAATATATTGACTATTGCAGTTTACTTTGTAAAATGAATATATAATTTTTATTTTGTCATGGTTTATTTGTTTAAACCAGTTGGTGATATCTTTGAAATCAAAGGTTTTCTCTACACCTTGCAACATTATGAAAAAAACGCAGGCTCTCTATGCACCCAACTTTGCAGATAAATAAATTGACTCGTTTAGAGACATTTAAGCAACAATGCACACATGTGACTCCTTAATAAATGGCAGTATAAAATGTTTAAATGTTACAGTTCACATTATTGAACAACTATGTGGCTCCTACTCGTCCCTACAGAACAACACGCTCAAACTCTCTCTTCATAGGCATGCTCTTCATAGCCTTCTTAATGGCAGCCATTCCAGTTACTTACATGATTGGCAAGTATGTAGCGCTATTTGTACATCATTATAAGATGAATATTGATTTTGTTTTGTTCTTTTCAAGTTCCCACTACAGGCGAGATGAGTGTGTTAGTGAATATCATAGTTTATGAGCTTGATAAAAAATTTAGTCCATCTGTCCAAATTTTGATTAAAGGAAATGCATCATATTCTCAAAATACTAAGACTAAAAACACCTCTTTAAAACGGAAGTTCAGTACTTTAAATATTGTTGTACACTTATTGAGTAATATAGCATATTTCCTTATGACTAGCTTTCACCCGTCCCAGAGCTGTGGTCCGTTTCGAGTGTACTCCACTGACAACACTGTGTTCTTTGACACTGTGGCACATGTTATCTTAGAATGGCCACAGGAGGCTCAGGATGTGTTTTTCTTTCTTGGAAAGATTGACTTCTTTATACCAGCTATAATAGTGATGTGGTGAGTATTTATGGCGGTGATAAACAAGCTTTAGTGCTGAATAAATCCTTAAGGTTATACATGTATATCAAAGATAGGGTGATAGGATAGATAGGGTGTGCAGCAGTGGGACATATATAGTCACTTAATATTGACACTGAATTAAATTTGATAAGGATGCTGAGGATAGGAGTCAATCCCTTTGATTAGAGGTAACCTCCACTTCATGACACTTAATACAGCAATAATAAAATAAACAAAATATCAATGTTCACCTCAGTCATTGTTAGACATTATAACATTGAAAATTTCTAGTCTTTTATCTGAGGCTTAATTCAGACTGTCTTTAATTTTTCAAGTTATCATATTTTTCCCCAGCTTAATCATGTATTACTACTGGGCCGTGAAGGAAGGACTAACAAAAATGGAGGAGATGCTCCAGGAACAATTAAAGTTGGTATGTATTCAGCTTATTTCTGTTATGTGAAAATTGTTGTTGAAAATCTAGTTTTTTTGAAAACCAGTTTTGATAATTACTTATTCTTTGATGGCACTCGGAAATGACTGTTAAGGTGTTCCTCTCAAGTGGTAAAATTTGTTAGATTTGAAATATAAAAAGAATATGTTTATGATAAACGATGTGAGATGTACCAAGTCATATAGAAATGTATTCCATTTGTTTGGTGTGATTGACACTTCTTATATCTCTGCAGGAGGGGCGTGACAAGCAGTTCCTACTGGCACGTGTCAATGAGATAATGCAGCACATGGACACAGGCAGTGGGGCCACCATAGGATGACCGCAAAATAAAGGCAATACAGGACTGCACCACCATGGGACAGTGAGAAATCATCGAGATACTTGTGCACTGGCAATGGAGGCAGATGGTTTTCCATTCATTGAATGAAAAAGATATTAACAAGACATACAGTAGTGGTGCCACTCCTGAATGAATAAGAACTCAATGAATTAGTGCTACACAAGAACTCAAGATACTGATAATTGATAATCAGATTTCATATTTCCAAATTAGGATACAAATGCAAAAGACTTTGTTTTAATTGATATGTGTAGTTATGTTGGGAACTACTGATCTGAGGTGATTTGGTTTCAATTAATGCAACTTGCATAGAAAAAAAGGCAGAGCTAATCTATGAATAGATACAATTGTATGTGTAAGTTTGTCAATGATGACTAGGTAGTGGAAGTTCAGTAGGTATACCTATGAGGTGACATAAGAAATATAGTGTTGTCTGAATGGCTGGCTAATTAAGACATCAACAATTTTTTGTTTGGAGCATTATTCCCTAACATTTTTCCTTTATATATCAATCAAAACTTTTGAAGGAACATATATTATGGTATGGCATTGTCCATTTGTCATAAACTCTTATTTGTCCAGAGATCACCTCCCAGTCTTTTCCAACTTGGTATGCTCAATCATCATTTTTGGCATTTATCTTCGGAGATCTCCTTCCTCAGTTTCTCACAAATTTCTTGACTTCATAAACATTACATGATATTGTGATTTCTTTGATAGTTGTGTAATTTTACCTTTTTTTAGAAAAGTTACTGTCATATGAATTTTTGTTTTCAACATTTTCATCTGGATTAGATATCTCCTTCAATGATTTTTAACAAATTTCGTTGAAACTTGTTAAGATTTAAAACCACAACATGAGATAGTGTTCTAAAGAACAGCATTTTTAGCTTCAACCATATCAAAAAATGAAAAAAAAAGACTGATGTAGGCAGAATGTTATCAGCTTGTTTATAAGACTGTTCTATCAAGACCTTAACTCAACTAATGAAAAGCAGGATGCATATGTATATACCCAGCTCAAGTATTGTAATGGCTGTAAATGTGAAACATGGGATTCTACAGATGACAACATTTTGTGTGCTTACGATCTAAGGGGAGACAACTTAGGAATTTCAGGCTATGAACAAGTCGGTTATCTATTGACAGTCTAAGATCTACAGTATACAGCTGTTTTTTTTCAACAAGAGAATGTAAAAGTGGAAAAGACACCCTATTACTTAGTCTGTTTACTCTAACATATCAGCTAACTGGGGGTAAAATAAAGATGACATAATTTCATTGGACATTATGAGGCATTTCTATGTATAATGATCAAAGATGAAATAAATATAATCAAAATATGTCCTACTGTGACATCCACTGGTTCATATTACTGGTAATTTGTGTGTGAGCTTAAGATAAAATAACACAGTATCACAGAGAAGAAAATGTATTATCACTAATCCCCTTTACAAGTGAACTGTAAAGGAGAACTTATTGAATTGACAACAATAATACTGATCATTATCGGCACATGATTTATTTATCTAAAGCGTGTCCACATAGATAGCAACAACTGAATACATTTCTAAAAAAAATTTTCACATAATTGTGAAAACCCAGTTATGCAGAATATTTTTTTTCCTAAGTAAATATAATGTATGCCTCTCACTCTTTCTAACACTTTCTCACATAAGTTCAGAGAGAAACAATTCCTTGACATTTTTCTACTGTAAATGTTTCAATCATATAGAACATTTCTAACCAGTGCAAAACATTAGAAAATAAATATACCAACAATTGTTACTCTCAGACTCTTAAAAAACACAATTTAGTACATACACTTTTTTTATATAACCATAAGAATGTTTTGGTGATAGAAGCTGTCTGAGGGGCACAATTAGAATAACTTCGTTGAATTTACATATAATATGCTAGCTCAAAAACTACAAATTGCTATCCTCCTACCTCACCCCACTTCCCCTCAAATTTCACTGCACTGCCAGTGTTAACAGTTTCACATTAAATCATCTTCCCGAAAGTGAAATCATATTTTAATGTCATGTATAATTATACAGCACTTCAGTTAATACAAATTCTGATCAGTTCCTAAAATGACCTATAAAGCACTGTAATTTTCTTCATTAAACAAAGAACCATGTTTGAGAACAATATTCCACAAATCTGAACATATTCTTTTACCTATTATCAATAAGTTTTGATAAATTATTCATTGTTTATCAATGCTACGGCAGGGAATGTCATTTCACATTGTATTGATTTTCAATTTTTCCACATGCATTGTTCAGTAATATTTATTAACTATTTCTAAAACTATCAGAAAAAATCTCTTTATGAAGGCTACATTAATATATGATACATGTACCGCCAAAATTATTTAGAAACAGAGAAAATGATTTCTACTAATTTATTAACAGATAACAACAGTAATGATCATATAATATCTGTCAACAGTTGAACATATTTATCTCATTATACAATGTATAAGAATAAAGTTTACTCTGGTATCCTGGACATAAGAAATTTCACTGTTGACTAGCATCACATGTAGGCAATAATCCTAATACATTTTATCAGGAGAATGTGCTTCCTTTTTGTATCAAATCGCAAATGTAAGGTATATATATTCACGATAAGAAATATCAAGGGTCTGTACTCTGACAATACTTGAATTAAGTAAAAAAATTTTGATATCCAAATCAATCAAGTGCAGAGAAACATGTAAACCTTCAGTATTGACTAGTAAATGATGGATACATTACATGATTACCAGACCTGAGTTATCTCCCTTACTTCTGTATCATATCAAACATGAATACCTGTGCATTTTTTGTGAATACTGCAACAATGAAACTGGAACTGTTAGCATGTACAACACAAATATTTAAAAGAAAGCTATATTCTTCCTGCTTTGATTTTTCTGTTTATAATTACAAAAGTTGATACACTTTTTTTTATAATTTTATTATTACATTTTTATATTTCTCACACACAGCTTGACAGAGAAGTATAGTATATAACACCAAAATATTTGACCAAAGATTGTATGATTGATACATAGAATGAAAAAACACAATAATCAATTTGTAACAATACACATGCCTGATAACTGATCATCATTCAGTTTCAGTAGAATTCTTTTTGTACAAAACATCACAAAACATGATTTACTGACTGATCAACACCAATATACTGTTCATTCTATGAACCAGAACACGGTGCAAAACACAGAAGTAAAACCGGAAAGATCCTCTCACTTCTTACACACCATACTGCTTATGATATGTTTACTGTACAAAAAGAGTTTGATCAACATGTAAAAATATCAAAATAAAAGTCCTTGCATACAAGTTTGAAGCTGTGACTGTGGAGATCACTTTGGCACTTGTGTGACACAGAAAGCACTGTTAAAGGTCCATGGATATTTACCATTGACTGACACCATCTGATGGTGAACATTTACAATAAGATCACAAACTTCTATACAGATATTTTATCTTTAAAATATAAACCCTGTCAGGTTCTTGCAAGAGGAAAATGTTGTGAGGCCCTTTATAGAATAAGGAGACTTACTTTAGATAGTTTAAGGAAACCCTTAAAAACCAAACTCTGCTGCCTCTATTGTTATGTTATATCTTTATATCTCATCTACTCTTTCCTTCTGACAATGATGTCCTAAAAAACTGTCTGAATGTAACTATAGCTCTGCCACAAGGATATCAAATCATGTTCAGAAACAAAATAGGTCTCATACATGTTACCATTAATAAATGCAGTCAAACCTGCCTTAAAGGTTTTCTGTATATAAAAATGCCTGCATATAAAGGTCACTGGTTTAAGGTCCCAATCGAACACAAACAGTAGTAACTGAACTTCTATATAAAGGTCACCTGTCTGTAAAGGCCATTTTTCTTTGCTCCATTTTGTGGTTCTTATAGACAGAATTTACTGTGATTATCCTTACTAAGCTTTGTTGTATGGTGGAAGTGACCAAAATCAAAGAGCTGCATTTATCTGGCCGTGAGTCCAGTATAACAGTTAAATAGAATACCAACAAACTGGTGAAGTGACAAACTAATCCCTCGACTCTGAGTCAGAGGTAATGTAATGGCTGGCTTGACTGGATACAGGAAATTTCTGAATTCCTGAGATATATATTTATACCTCTCTTTGATCCTCTGTTACTACCAGTTATATATGTAATATAACAACACTCATCTTTAACTGACTTCCATCTGTTCACCAGTCTCGGCCTCCTTACTAGCTGCATACTGGGCACAGTGGTCAACAATTTCTGAAAAACAAAAACATTTTAGGATAAGAAATTATAAATATAACATGCACACAAAAACAAACAATATAGCATTTGTTTTGTGAATCCCAGTGTATCATTTTGTAGATATTCAACATGTGTCTCATAAGTAATACCATTCATTACCAAACATTTAAAATAATATATAGTGAAAACTGACAAATCTGGACCTCACTTGAAATAAGCATTATGGTGGGATTTCACAGGGTGTTCTCAGTGATTAAGTCAGTAAACAGTGAACACAAATGATTATTATCAACACACACACTTCATTTTTACATATTTACAAAAATTATTGATTATTTTCTTTGTTTTGTTTTGTCTTTAAATATAAATTTGGGGTGCAATGAATATATTTCTTAATACATTTACTTTCATCAAAATTTTGCCACAAACATGAACACAGCAAGTTAACATTTACTGTTACTGATCAAGCAGTATCAACTTATTAGTATCAAAGTAAATACACATTCTAACAAGATCTCTGAGATAATTTCAGCATGAAAATTTTCATCAAAACTAATCAACTTTGTCTTACTCCTTGTGGTGTCTCCTTTTGTATTTCAAGTGATACACCTAACTTAACGATAACCTGGATTAAACTGGGGTACTGCATACAAAACACAAGTTTGCCTTGCCAGCATTTTTCTCCTGTATGAGTGGTAAATCATACATGTGCTAATACTAAACATAATAAATAAAACTTTGGATCCCAGCAATGACACTACCACAGTACTCATGGTGTGTTTAACCGGTATTGCTCTCCTGGCTAATTTAGCTATTCCGACATTTAATAAAGAATTTCAAATATAACAAACAATTTCCGACATAATTTCCCTATTTAGCTATTCAGACATTTAATAAAGAATTTCAAATGTAACAAACAATTTCCGACATTATTTCCCTATTTAGCTATTCAGATATTTAATAAAGAATTTCAAATATAACAAACAATTTAATAAAGAATAAAGAATTTCAAATATAACAAACAATTTAGCTATTCAGATATTTAATAAAGAATTTCAAATATAACAAACAATTTCCGACATAATTTCCCTATTGGGTTCCGCCCTTGTGGTCAAACAGAGGTCAGATTCACTATTCATAAAAATTGCTTCAAACCAATCTTATACAACCAATATCCTTGTACTGAAGAAGAATTAGTAAGAACTTTCATTTCCCTAACTGAACTCAGCCCTCTCACCCTTGGCAGCTGGGATGCACCATTTATACAGAACTTATTCCCCTTCACCCAAGAATACTATAGGAAGAGTAGGATTTTAAAGAATTTACTCTATTTCCCCTATTGGACCCCACTCCTCCTGCCCCTAGGGTCCCAAGACCTCATGTCTACAAGATTGATTCCCCTTCAACCAAAAATGCTTAAGACAAATCTGGGCAATATCCATTCATTCCTACAGCAGGAGAGGTGTTCACAAGTAAAGATGCTAACACAACAGCATGACCACTGGGAAGAGGTTTTAAAGACACACATTTATTATGGTTTCCTCCTTTATTTCATCATATAACACTATTATTTGGTAAACATCCTGTTTTTAGGTATTCCTATTTCCTTATGTTGAGGTGGGAGGTACCCATCACATTAACTCCATTTTCAATTTAAAGTTTGTAGATATTTGTTAGTAATTATGCTTAAGTGTATTCATTTATCAAATTAATTGAAATTTTGATAGTTTATCCTCCATTTTGCACATATTGACAGATAATATTATAACTGATATGCTAATTGTGAAAACATCTAATTCTGGTAATGTTGGCTATGGAGTGTTTTGCAGTATGTAGCTCACTTTTGATGATCTTGACATATGCCTCCGTGGCTGGAGAATCCGGTACTTCAGTCAGGAAGGACTTCCCCTCATCACAGCATTTACCTTGAAAAACATGATAAAAACTGTAAAGCCTAATGTCTATTTGGCATCCCTTGATGTCAGTTTAAAACATTCTATCTCCTGTCTCTATTATTACGAAATCTTTCTCAAATCTTTTAATCAGTCAGACTGGTATTCTCTGATAACATTTTCACAAAACACTAATACATCAAACTCTAATAAGACAGGTGGGCATTGTCTTGATATCCATACCAGTACCTGAAAATACTCCAAAAATATGATGGAAATTTCTTACCTATCCTGAGGTCTGGACCAGAGATAGCTTGTCCAAATACCTTAAGCCCAGATGGAAATTTCTTACCTATCCTGAGGTCTGGACCAGAGATAGCTTGTCCAAATACCTTAAGCCCAGATGGAAATTTCTTACCTATCCTGGTGCACAGAGGTAGCTTTTCCAGAAATCTTACATCACAATGGCTTACAGATGGAAATTTTTTACCTATCCTGAGGTCTGGACCAGAGATTGCTTGTCCAAATACCTTAAGCCCAGATGGAAATTTCTTACCTATCCTGAGGTCTGGACCAGAGATTGCTTGTAAACCCAGAGGCAGCTTGCCCAGAAACCTTACATCCATATCTGCAGCCATCTTTTCCCCTCCTCCAGTTGTTGGAGGGAAAATTTGAGATTCACCCTGGAAATAAATCATCACAGCCTGTTACCATGTTATCTCCCTTCAATTGCATAACTATTATCTCAACAATATGACTCCAAAAAGGAAACCAGCCAGAGTTGTTTCCCTTACATCTGACAGAAATGTAACATGGTTTTTCAGTACTTATTCAAGCCAAAATGTCTGTCTTAAAAAAATTGAAAAATTTCTAGTGCAAGGGCAACCATGCTTTTTAACCAAGCATATTTCACATGACATAACTAATAAAGCTAAACATCACTGAAGTGTTGCTAGGTAATTTTAAAGAGCTGGTAAATATAATCACACCAATATTAGTTTTGATGATTAAGAATTGTTTAAACAGAGGTCATCAATTACATTAACATCGAAATGGGCTTGTCCCATTATAATTCTCAAAGATTGTTTAACTTTCCTATTTCTTGTTTAACGAATCCTGAGTTTTCCTATTTTTCTCCTTTTTTATGAAAGGGCTCTTTTATTTCCTGCATTCAGAATGGGTAGACAAATTGGATAAATGAACTCACATTCAAATTAAGACCAGAGGTAACTGAAGTTTTCTTTAGATCAACTGAAAACATTGCAAACTGAAACAAACACGTTCACTGGTCTATTTTAACAAACAGCATGTTGTAATTCATTTCCCAGACTAAACTGACTTACCTTACACTTTGGGCACACAAACCCACTCATGTTTTCCACCACTCCAATGATGGGCATCTCAACCTTCCTACAGAAGTTCACCTCTTTTCGGACATCCAGCAATGACATTTCCTGTCAATCATACATCACAGTTGTTTCAGTGCTCGTAAATGTTTATGTTGGTATATTGAGGAATAGTAGGAAAGCATTTCAGGTTGGTAATGTCAAAAGAATAGGAGATATTGAAACACAACCAGTATAAGATATGAGTGTGACATTACAATGACTAAAGGGTCACCTTCATCAGACCAATGGGAAGTGTACTAGCATTGATGTACATAGTGTAGGAGATGTTAAGGAATCAACCAACTTTTTTGGCTGTACTATAATTCTATGTACACTAAGGTAGAAAATAGTGACACGATGGTCAAAAAATTACCAAAAAAAAAGGGTAATACTGCTCACTATAAAGCTTACCCAGTGGTTTAGAGTGTTACTCTCCAGATATGAACACACATAAGAAACACATATGCAATAGAGTGTTTAACACAAAGAATGCCATACATTGACGACATTGGAACATCCCATAAAGACATCTACAAGTAACAGCACAATAACAGACGAAGAATTGAAAGAATCCAGGCTAAACGAGTGGGTGATAAGGGTTTGAATTGTGTCATTGACCCAGACAAAATTCAAGCTGGTTTTATTGTAGCCACAGAACAGGCCTGTAAAAATTTTGGTTACATTGAAGCTGATCAACTGAGATCACAAAAGACTGATGTCTTAACATCTACAAAATTACCAGAAAACAATAAATGAAAGGAAGAACACCTTGTACTTACACAATTAACCAAGGACATATCTATCATGATTTTACCAGCAGACACAGGGTTAGTCATCGACACTTGGTGATTATGAGAACAAAGTCGTACCTATGCTCACAGACAACAGACCATATGAAAAACTTCAGGACAACCCTACCTAAAAGTGCAAAGAGTGCCTGGTAGATATCTATCAAAACTAAGACCACTGAATCACAATATAGACACATGTACCCGACCGCAGAGAACACACCTAAAATGTACTACACACCCAAGATATACAAAGAAGGAAAGTGGACCATACCTGTTCCATTGCTTACAATGTCCAGATCACTCATGGACATTCTAGTACCCGGAAAATCAGACTATGACGTCAAAAACTTTAAAGACCTTAGAGAAAGTTTATGCCCACAGTATTAATCCAAAACAATCAGAAATCTAATTCACACAATGTATGATGGTATTATTACAATGCTTAGTATCCTGTGTGTATGATGGTGTTAGTGACAGTAATAACACTGCTTAGTATCCTGTGTGTATGATGGTGTTAATGACAGTTATAACACTGCTTAGTATCCTGTGTGTATGATCGTGTTAGTGACAGTAATAACACTGCTTAGTATCCTGTGTGTATGATCGTGTTAGTGACAGTAATAACACTGCTTAGTATCCTGTGTGTATGATGGTGTTAGTGACAGTTATAACACTGCTTAGTATCCTGTGTGTATGATGGTGTTAGTGACAGTTATAACACTGCTTAGTATCCTGTGTGTATGATGGTGTTAATGACAGTTATAACACTGCTTAGTATCCTGTGTACTTCTGATTTGATGGGGAAACCTTTGTAGACAATGATACAGAAATGCTGTAACTTTAGAAGTATATCAATATATATGTTATCTGGTCCTCTTACCAAAACCATCCAAACAAATCTAATGTTTCAATATCAACACTCTAACGTTGAAAAAAAATCTTCAAAATCCAATCTGTCAATATTATTGAGATTTTGTCAAGTTTCAGCCACTCATTCTGTGACTTCCTCAGTGATATTGATAGACTGAGTGTTCTCCAGTAAATAAAACCTGAAAGTGAGAACACTTCAGTATCTGAAGAATTCCTATACACACCGGGGAAACAAACTGTCATATGTTCCAAAGCACATGGAAAAGGTAGCCATACAGGTAGCTATTACAGATAAGCCACAATAGGCAACTATTGCCTGTTGATACTTCTATTTTTGTCTACAGCTGCGTAAATTTCTGAGGTGAAGAGGGAAAATTACAAAAGCTAATGGATTTGAAATTTCCGAAGAATTATAATGAGCCAGTTGCTATAAATGCTGTTTTACTTGAACGAGACACTTTTGAAAGACAGCATATTTCCTGTTACCATGGATATGAAAAATACCTGAGGAGTGGTGATGATGACAGCACCATCAATCTGTGATTCCTTCAGGTACTGGGCAACAGACAAGTGTTCATCAGAGGTACCAGGAGGGGTGTCTATGACGAGGAAGTCCATTTCCCCCCAGTCCACATCCTTCAGGAACTGTTTGATCAGGCCTGTTTATTGTTTATGACAAGAGATAAACAGTCAAACAGCTTCTTGGTGCAGATTTTAATTTTCATAATCACTTACTGTAATTAACATTATTTAGGATATATATTTGTCTGTTCTCGTGTAACTAATATTAGTATTATAGTGATATTGGTTTAACCTCAGTTTTCATTACCTTGGAACACTTAACAAATTGATCCAAAAGTCACAGGTTATACAGGTAACCTACCTGAAACAGTTATGATCTATACAGGTAATTTACCTCACCCAGTTATAAGTTAATATACAGGTGACCTATGTTAACCAGTTATAATTTATACAGATAATCTATCTCAGCCAGGTTTAGATTATAAATGTAATGTACCCAAGACAGGTATAAATAATCAGAGACAGTTATAATAAATACAGGTAATTAATGATATCAGAGTCACCAGTACCAAGTAAAGCACATTACAACGTAATTCTATGAGATATAGTATCATTAAATACCATTTTTCTTTGGTCCTCGCCATATTACTGCATCATCAGGACTACCAAGTAGGAATCCTATAGACATCACTGACAGGTTATCGTCCACATACTGTAAGACAAAAAATTGCTTACAATACTCATCCTTGATATTGTTTTTACCATAACTCAGAATTCTTATCAATTTTGAGGTTGCCTATAATATGTTATATCACCAACAAGTTGCCATCCATTGTACATTAACTGGATCACCTTTACTCTGGTTTTAAACTCCAGCTGTGTGGGGTTAGTTAACCTTTATTAATAGTATTTTCTCGTGAGAGATTCCATTCATGAATCAAACAAAATGGCTTCATTGTCCGTTGAGACCTTTTAGATTTCAATCATCAGTTCTGTGTTCTTTATGAACTTTCTACTGATAACTGTTATAGAAAATACAACAATGTAAATACATTACTGGAACTAAATGTCAATTAGCAATCACACACCTATATTGAATAAAATGCCATACTTCTATAGATTTATTGATAGGTAATGTCAGTAATTGATTCAGAAAGTAACAATTACCCATAGTAATTCACTTACAGCTCTCTTACAACTCAACCATAAGGATTACTCATGTCCATCAGGAACTTAATAGGTTTAGTTAAAGCTCTGCCACACTTTAAAATGATCATACATAAATTGTTTTAATTAAACAAACTGTAAACAGGTGTTAACAAACAACACAAAATATAGGAAAACCAATGGCTTTGAAAAAGGTGTGACCATCATAAATAAGATAATAATCTGCTTTTGTCAGAGCAATATGAATAAGCTGATTACTCGTCATAATTACCACAATCAGCTTTAACAACTATAGGTATACAATGTAAATTACATACTTACCGTTATATTTCTTAATTTACTGATATGAAAATCTTTGGAATGTCTAGAAACTTCGTGTTCAAGTGACATCTTAAAATTATAGCAAAATCATCCATATAAAATATACCCAATATCTTTTACTGTCGATCATGCAGCAATATCAAGGAATGGGGTTAAATTCTACAGAGAGATGAACAGATAGGCATGATAAACATTTAATACATGTCAACAGTTGTAATTAGGGTTTAATGAGACTGGCATGGACAGGGAAACATTTAATACATGTCTGCTGTTGTGGTAAGGGTTTAATGAGACTGTCATGGACAGGGAAACATTTAATACATGTCTGTTGTTGTGGTAAGGGTTTAATGAGACTGTCATGGACAGGGAAACATTTAATACATGTCTGCTGTTGTGGTAAGGGTTTAATGAGACTGTCATGGACAGGGTAAACACTAGTACATGTCTGCTGTTGTGGTAAGGGTTTAATGAGACTGGCATGGACAGGGCAAACACTAGTACATGTCTGCTGTTGTGGTAAGGGTTTAATGAGACTGGCATGGACAGGGTAAACACAAATACATGCCTGCTGTTGTGGTAAGGGTTTAATGAGACTGGCATCGACAGGGTAAACACATATACATGTCTGCTGTTGTGGTTAAGGTTTAATAAGACTGGCATGGACAGGGCAAACACTAGTACATGTCTGCTGTTGTGGTAAGGGCACAATGAGACAGCAATGGACAGGGCAAAAACTAACACATCTCCACTATTGTGGTAAGGGCACAATGAGACTAAGATGGACAGGGCAAACACTAATACATGTCCACTGTTGTGGTAATAGAACAATGAGACTGAAAAAAATAGGACAAACACTAATACAGGACACAGTTGTGGTAACTTTATATTGAGACTAGTATTGAAAGGGCAAACACTTTAAACGTCTACATGATTATTATAAAGGTGCACGAGAACAAAATTTGTGAACAATTGTGGACTTAGATGGTTTCTGTATAAAGGACACAAAATGGCCGATTGATTGATACTTTTCATTGGACCCAATGTCATGGAATCAATTTTGCCCATTGTTATCACACCCACTTTGTCTGATGCAACATTAATTGGTTGCTCTACCTAATCAAAAGAGTGTGGAGAGGACACCATTTTTCATTTAGTCAGTTATAGCATTTATGAGAATGAACTGACATTTATGACAAAGACCTGGCCATCGATTATATTTGATATAAATGTGGCTCCTAACTTCTGCCTCCAGTCTTACAAGACTGGTCACCTTAAGCTGTATTACCCAACCATTTAAATCAATCTAGGTAGTGTAATGTATCATTTATTTTATTATGAATTTAAAAAGCAAAATTTTTACCATAATACACGAAAAAAATTGAGTAAGAAGATGTGTGCAAAAAACTCTTTTTCACAATTAAAATCAAGCTCCAGGTGCTTTATGCCATAACATAAAATGTTTTAGTGAAAGTAAACACAATCGGTGATATTGTCGACAATACAAATTAAATGGGGAAGAAAATATTCAATACATGAAATCAATGTTACCATCCACCAATTAAACTGGTGCCATGACCACAGTCTGACAATGACATGTCTATTATAGTGTACACAATTTTATTACAGTACCTACATAGAATTGAAATGACTCTAAGTAATTAAACATGTTTGAATGACGTATGTATAACTAAAATGGCACATTGTATAGTGAGTGTAGATGGGAAGTGGTTCCTAAACTAACACAGTAACAAGTTACTATATGATCAATATATATCACAGCTGTCACATCTAACAAGTTGACTGGTAGATTGTGTTTAGTACTGCAACAGTCCATTAGAACTCTGGAAACATCCAGCTTTGTGTCATATCCTTTGCAAATTTATCAATATATGTTGCCTTGTTCTTACATGAGTTAAACATCATCAAAACAGCTAGGATCATATGAGGACAGGTGTGAAGAGGGATGCTAAGAATGACATAAACACATAGAAAGAAAGAGAAGACAAGCACTGGGGACAACACATCTAATCTGGTCTCCTCTTAGCAGCTAAAACACAAACTAGCAGCCTGCTAATGCCTTCTACTTCCTTCTTGTCTTCTGCTAGGTTCAATTTCTTCAACAAATGGATACAAAAGTTTTTTCCAGAGATCAGCATCATATATCTAGATGCATGATGCAGATCAGGAAATCCTACACTCCACAATAGGGATAGGTGGTAAACCATCAACAGGCCTCAGGGATTATCATTATTCACTCTTTTGTGAAATATCCATAGGACTGTTAGCTATTTACTTTGGTGTTGTTGTAAATTGTGGATCTCCTTATTGTTTATCTATAACTGACATTTCTAGTCAGCATGTGACTCTCCATACCTGGTAATAAGTCCATCCTTATATAATGCAGTTTACAACAAGCCCACTCCCTAACATCGATTTAAAACAATATGTATTCCTCTAATTGATGAACTGCAGGAGCTCCCAAACACCTAAGTCAACTAATATCAATGTATTATTACTTCAACTCAAAAGAACGATACTGTAAAAAATCAGTAAATGTGTCTCGTGCTGCTATCAATCATACCAAATGAGCAGTCTTTGAAACTGTGTAAATATTGACTCCGTCTGAGTCGGCCCCGCTCGTCTACGTGGTACTGTATCGAACAAAATGTGCAATCTTTAGGTTGTAATCAATAGTACATGCATCTGTCTGAGAGCTCCATTATCAATTATCCCACACCATTTCCCTCATGTATACAACCACACAGGTATACAGGCTCATTAAGGCAGGCTCACATGATGGGTAATTAACCATAACAATATCAAACTAAAAATTTAGAGGCAGGGGAGATGCACCTATTGCCCTTTAGTGTGAGGTCACAATCATTAAAATCTATATTTTACTTAGTTCTATAGTGAGTTTAGGCTATGCATATTCATGTATATTGAATGGTGGTCCATGGTATCCTGTAGATACCAAACCAGGTGATAAATGAAGCCTTGTGGATATCTCTTTGTCCTGTAGTACTATAACGTCTCCATACCACCTGATTTCAAACTATTAATAATCTCCATTCATACTTATTGTTTTTTCATAAAGTCCTATCTTTCTCACATTCAGTATTAGTAGAAAGTAAGTACTATGTTATAAATGTCAGTAACTGAGTTTGATTAACTCAGCGATACTATGATAATATTATCAGTTAATGAATCTTCAGTTTTTTTGTTATCAAGCCCCTAAAGCATCAGAGTTATGACATCAATATTTCAACACACCTATCCCCGTTCTTTTTTTTCATTTCCACTTAATCAGATGGGATCTGGTTGGCATGTTTTGTGCTCCATGACAACACCCGTAGCCCTATAAACGAAGGTAACAAATTCCTTTCCAACACAATATATTACGCCCATTAATTATTCAGTCCACAGGTTCTGCATCAGGAACTAATCAGCAGGTGTGGTTATCAGAAAGCATACCTGCACGTAGAGCTCAATACCTGATAACAAACTGTTATAGGTTTTCAGATATAACACTGACTAAACATTGCCCATAAAATACAGTGGTTTAGTGATACTGTTGTAAAGTTTGTGGGGGATATGTGTGGCAGATGCTATATTACAAAGTTTTATAACATCGTTTTGCCATGCTATAGACTACTCTACAAAACCAATACGCCTCCAGTAAATAAACAATGTCACTATTTTATTTGTTCCTTTCTGTATCATTTGTGTGACAGTATATTTAACATTATGATAATTTAACTGTAGGTTTATCCAGTTTATAAAAGCTATCAGAGAACCAAATGGTTTTATGCTTTTGTTTATCCATGTTTCAGACATCTCCTTTCAATGATCTTTTGTTTATCCATGTTTCAGACATCTCCTTTCAATGATCTTTTGTTTATCCATGTTTCAGACATCTCCTTTCAATGATCTTTTGTTTATCCATGTTTCAGACATCTCCTTTCAATGATCTTTTGTTTATCCATGTTTCAGACATCTCCTTTCAATGATCTTTTGTTTATCCATGTTTCAGACATCTCCTTTCAATGATCCTTTGTTTATCCATGTTTCAGACATCTCCTTTCAATGATCTTTTGTTTATCCATGTTTCAGACATCTCCTTTCAATGATCTTTTGTTGTTATGTTATTAAGTTTTCATGAAATCTGATGATGACAAGACAAAATGATGAAAATCTGATGATGACAAGACAACAATGATGAAAATCTGATGATGACAAGACAAAATGATGTAAATCTGATGTCATCACACAGATTTAACGTTACATTATGACATTCATGTTTATGTGTATTGACCATCTATTTAGTAGGGACAGTATAATATGTTTCTGAAAATTGTTTATCTTACTTCAAACTTTCAGTGAATTGGAGTAACAACCTATCACAGAGAATCTATATCCTTCTCTCTTACAATTAAATTTCTGAACCATCTTCCTAAATAGTAAAGATCCCCTGGATTAAATCTTTCACCTCTAAGAATCTATTTTTCAGTATCAGCCTCGGCATTCATTACTAGTATAATCATACCTGTATTTGCAGACCCTTGGAACCCATTACAATACACCTGACTAATTAGTATCTATGGTCCTTCTAGTCAATACACACCAAAACACAATAGAATACAAGATTACAGGTAAGTAATGATGTTAATTGAGTCTGTACTGCCATGGTGATAATGCTGTCAAGATGGAGATACTTATAAACACTAGCAGCCTTATTATCCAAATATGTTTTATCACTATAAAAAACAGCTGTTTAAAATGTGGTTTGTTGCTTTTTAATTCATCAGTAAATAATGAATTATTCATTTTTACAAATTTAGATAATTTCATCCCTGCTAATCTGTACAGATTAGCTTTAGGCAAATAGAGATATCCATGAAATCTGATGATGACAAGACAAAATGATATAAATCTGATGATGACAAGACAAAATGATATAAATCTGATGATGACAACACAATGATATAAATATGAAGATGAAAAAACAAAATGAAATAAATATGATGATTACAAGACAAAATGATATAAATCTGATGATGACAAGACAACAATGATATAAATCTGATGATGACAAGACAACAATGATATAAATCTGATGATGACAACACAATGATATAAATCTGATGATGACAAGACAACAATGATATAAATCTGATGATGACAAGACAAAATGATGTAAATCTGATGATGACAAGACAATCTGATGATGACAAGACAAAATGATGTAAATCTGATGATGACAAGACAAAATGATATAAATCTGATGATGACAAGACAACAATGATATAAATCTGATGATGACAAGATATAATGATGTAAATCTGATGATGACAAGACAACAATGATATAAATCTGATGATGACAAGACAAAATGATATAAATCTGATGATGACAAGACAAAATGATATAAATCTGATGATGACAAGACAAAATGATATAAATCTGATGACAAGACAACAATGATGAAAATCTGATGATGACAAGACAACAATGATATAAATCTGATGATGACAAGACAAAATGATGAAAATCTGATGATGACAAGACAAAATGATATAAATCTGATGATGACAAGACAAAATGATATAAATCTGATGATGACAAGACAAAATGATATAAATCTGATGATGACAAGACAAAATGATATAAATCTGATGATGACAAGACAAAATGATATAAATCTGATGATGACAAGACAAAATGATATAAATCTGATGATGACAAGACAAAATGATATAAATCTGATGATGACAAGACAACAATGATATAAATCTGATGATGACAAGACAAAAAGATATAAATCTGATGATGACAAGACAATGATATAAATCTGATGACAAGACAAAATGATATAAATCTGATGACAACAATGATATAAATCTGATGATGACAAAATGATATAAATCTGATGATGACAAGACAAAATGATATAAATCTGATGATGACAATGATATAAATCTGATGATGACAATGATGATATAAATCTGATGATGACAAGACAAAATGATATAAATCTGATGATGACAAGACAAAATGATATAAATCTGATGATGACAAGACAAAATGATGAAAATCTGATGATGACAAGACAAAATGATATAAATCTGATGATGACAAAATGATATAAATCAAAATGATATAAATCTGATGATGACAAGACAAAATGATATAAATCTGATGATGACAAGACAAAATGATATAAATCTGATGATGACAAGACAACAATGATATAAATCTGATGATGACAAGACAACAATGATATAAATCTGATGATGACAAGACAAAATGATATAAATCTGATGATGACAAGACAACAATGATATAAATCTGATGATGACAAGACAAAATGATATAAATCTGATGATGACAAGACAAAATGATATAAATCTGATGATGACAAGACAACAATGATATAAATCTGATGATGACAAGACAAAATGATATAAATCTGATGATGACAAGACAAAATGATATAAATCTGATGATGACAAGACAACAATGATATAAATCTGATGATGACAAGACAATGAATGATGATAAATCTGATGATGACAAGACAACAATGATATAAATCTGATCTGATGATGACAAGACAACAATGATATAAATCTGATGATGACAAGACAAAATGATGTAAATCTGATGATGACAAGACAACAATGATATAAATCTGATGATGACAAGACAACAATGATATAAATCTGATGATGACAAGACAACAATGATATAAATCTGATGATGACAAGACAAAATGATATAAATCTGATGATGACAAGACAAAATGATGAAAATCTGATGATGACAAGACAAAATGATATAAATCTGATGATGACAAGACAAAATGATGTAAATCTGATGATGACAAGACAACAATGATATAAATCTGATGATGACAAGACAACAATGATATAAATCTGATGATGACAAGACAACAATGATATAAATCTGATGATGACAAGACAACAATGATATAAATCTGATGATGACAAGACAACAATGATATAAATCTGATGATGACAAGACAAAATGATATAAATCTGATGATGACAAGACAAAATGATGAAAATCTGATGATGACAAGACAAAATGATATAAATCTGATGATGACAAGACAAAATGATGTAAATCTGATGATGACAAGACAAAATGATGTAAATCTGATGATGACAAGACAAAATGATATAAATCTGATGATGACAAGACAAAATGATATAAATCTGATGATGACAAGACAAAATGATATAAATCTGATGATGACAAGACAAAATGATATAAATCTGATGATGACAAGACAACAATGATATAAATCTGATGATGACAAGACAAAATGATGTAAATCTGATGATGACAAGACAACAATGATATAAATCTGATGATGACAAGACAAAATGATGAAAATCTGATGATGACAAGACAAAATGATATAAATCTGATGATGACAAGACAAAATGATATAAATCTGATGATGACAAGACAAATCTGATGATGACAAGACAAAATGATGAAAATCTGATGATGACAAGACAAAATGATGTAAATCTGATGATGACAACACAATGATATAAATCTGATGATGACAAGACAACAATGATGTAAATCTGATGATGACAAGACAACAATGATATAAATCTGATGATGACAAGACAAAATGATATAAATCTGATGATGACAAGACAAAATGATATAAATCTGATGATGACAAGACAAAATGATGTAAATCTGATGATGACAACACAATGATATAAATCTGATGATGACAAGACAAAATGATGTAAATCTGATGATGACAAGACAAAATGATGTAAATCTGATGATGACAAGACAAAATGATGTAAATCTGATGATGACAAGACAACAATGATATAAATCCACTCTGATGGACCTGAAAGTATCAAATTAAACCTAAAATCTTAGCAGTAAACAAATATGTGTATCATGTCCAATTAGTGAAACAATACAATCTTCATTAATCTTTGCTCATGTAGACAAAGTCCTAGTTGATGTACTCATACCATATTGATACATGTGTAGAATGAAGTTATAATTCTTATTTTATGTCCCGAGAATTCCTCGATGTTGTAGACAATTCAATTGTTAAATGAAGCAAAAATGAAGTCTATAGCTCCTACCTGTTCTCCCTCGACGCCTAAGATCCTGGGAATTGATGGCCCACATATATCCACATCTAGTACACCCACCTGTAAAACAATACAAATATATCAAATATTTCCACATCTAGTACACCCACCTGTAAAACAATACAAATGTATCCACATCTAGTACACCCACCTGTAAAACAATACAAATGTATCCACATCTAGTACATCCACCTGTAAAACAATACAAATATATCAAATATTTCCACATCTAGTACACCCACCTGTAAAACAATACAAATGTATCCACATCTAGTACACCCACCTGTAAAACAATACAAATGTATCCACATCTAGTACATCCACCTCACAGGCACTCGAGGCCAGGATATTATTTTTTAAACATTGATTTTTGTTTTAGCACTCATGACTGACGTTATTTAAACGAAATATCAGCAGAATTCAAGTTTATATGCCGGTTGACAAATCCGAGGTCCACGGTCATTAAAAATACACAAGGACAAGACAAAATGAAGCAACTCCAGATTTTAAAAAATCGACCCCTCGCTTGGAAACTGGCTCAAAAAAAGTAGTTATGATAAGTTCCTTGTAAAACAATATGTATCCGTAGGTAGTGTGTATATTTACCTTTTATTTGGTGCATAACATTACAGGCAACGAGAAATTCACAATACGTACATGAGATTAACATCTCAATAACCGGAGATTTTATCGTCCATGTAATTATCTTTGACGGAAGTAACATGCCATTTCAAGGGCGGTCACTCCGACTTTTTGGGAGAGGAGTTCCGGATAGCACTATGCCAGTGAACAGGTAAGAAAGGTTCCGATGTCATTACGCGCGTAACTTCAAAATAGATATTTTTATTTCTACAAATACATTTGCGGGGATGGAAAAATAATGGCTGGGCAAAAAAGTCCACATTTGCCAACTCGGATACAATATCATGGTAAGGGATTATACAGAATGCATCAACTTTCAATCAAGCTGGCGGTAATGAGAATTTTTTTTTTCAAAAAAAAAAATAAGAAAAAAATCATGCAGATAATGAAATATTACTTTGACATTATATTCAAGGTCATGGATAAACCCTTAAATAACATCTTCTGATAACCAAAAAGGCCTTGGGTCGTGATATTTGGTCAGGAAGTCCATTGTATGGATGTTTGCCAAAACATACAGTACCTGTAGCAATACAAGCCCTTTGGGCCTCTTGGTTAATAAGTAATATGTATTTCTTTTCAAATATTCTCAATAACTTGACAAAAATCACTATGGAAAAAATCATTTAATTTCCAATTTCTAAGTTAATATATTTCCCCCACGATATTTTTCATAAATTGCGCCCTTTTTTCATTATCTGCATGATTTTTTTCTATTTTTTTTTTTTTTTTTGAAAAAAAAATTCTCATTACCGCCAGCTTGATTGAAAGTTGATGCATTCTGTATAATCCCTTACCATGATATTGTATCTGAGTTGGCAAATGTGGACCTTTTTTGCCCAGCCATGCACCTGTAAAACAATCCAAATATATTTTTCCATCCCCGCAAATGTATTTGTAGAAATAAAAATATCTATTTTGAAGTTACGCGCGTAATGACATCGGAATCTTTCTTACCTGTTCACTGGCATAGTGCTATCCAAATCCTCTCCCAAAAACTCGGAGTGACCGCCCTTGAAATGGCATGTTACTTCCGTCAAAGATAATTACATGGAAATAAAATCTCCGGTTATTGAGATGTTAATCTCATGTACGTATTGTGAATTTCTCGTTGCCTGTAATGTTATGCACCAAATAAAAGGTAAATATACACACTACCTACGGATACATATTGTTTTACAAGGAACTTATCATAACTACTTTTTTTGAGCCAGTTTCCAAGCGAGGGGTCAATTTTTTAAAATCTGGAGTTGCTTGCCTTGTGTATTTTTAATGACCGTGGACCTCGGATTTGTCAACCGGCACATAAACTTGAATTCTGCTGATATTTCGTTTAAATAACGTCAGTTATGAGTGCTAAAACAAAAATCAATGTTTAAAAAATAATATCCTGGCCTCGAGTGCCTGTGATCCACCTGTAAAACAGTACAAATACATCAAATAAAATATCTCCACATCTTGTCTACCAACCTGTAAGACAATCCAAATATTTCCACATCTAGTGCACCAACCTGTAAACCAATCCAAATTTCTCCACATCTAGTGCACCAACCTGTAAACCAATCCAAATATCTCCACATCTTGTCTACCAACCTATAAAACAATCCAAATATTTCCACATCTAGAACACCAACCTATAAAACAATCCAAATTTCTCCACATCTAGTGCACCAACCTTTAAAACAATCCAAATATCTCCACATCTAGAACACCCACCATTAAAACAATCCAAATTTCTCCACATCTAGAACACCAACCTATAAAACAATCCAAATATTTCCACATCTAGTGCACCAACCTTTAAAACAATCCAAATATCTCCACATCTAGAACACCCACCATTAAAACAATCCAAATTTCTCCACATCTAGAACACCAACCTATAAAACAATCCAAATATCTCCACATCTAGAACACCAACCTATAAAACAATCCAAATTTCTCCACATCTAGAACACCAACCTATAAAACAATCCAAATATTTCCACATCTAGTGCACCAACCTTTAAAACAATCCAAATATCTCCACATTTAGAACACCCACCATTAAAACAATCCAAATATTTCCACATCTAGAATACTAACCTTTAAAACAATCCAAGTATCTCCACATCTTGTCCAACAACCGTTAAAGCAATCTAAATTATTTATACAGCTATATAAACTCTGTAGGAATTGATATATATGTATACAAGTACAGTATTTCAATTGAACACTCCAACAGTCAGTATAAATTAAAGACGTCTCTCACTAACTTGAGTATTTCAAGAAACACTACAGACATCTACACATCATGTAGTAACATAAACTTGTATCACTACTCAACATAAAGGTCACAGAAGGTCAATGATCAAATCTTTTATTACATTTTTTTAGATGAAAAGGTAAACACAAGCAAGGTGGAATCTAACAATTATAACTGGAGATACTGTGCAGAAATGGAAATTGGAGCTTTGAGATTAATATTGTACAAACTTGTGACAAAATACTCAGGATTGCTTGATCAGCGTAAAATTTATAAACGACAGTGTATTTATAGACAGAGTATCAAATTAACCTCAGCCTTCTCTAAGTATCATAACACTGTCAAACAAAATCAAAGAGAGAACTGTGACGTCTAATGAATTAATGCATTATCTAACTAAGACTTTTAAACATCAAACAAGAGAAATCCCCTCTACTTTCAAACCAACGTATATGTATAGGTAAACTGAGTGAAATAAAATAACACTGATCAATACAGCAGGATTAGCTAACATTTACATGTGTCTATCTACTTCTGACAAAACTACATATGACTGTCAAATGCGAGATTACTGATGGGAAATCTTCCTACCAATGTAAACAACAATGGTCAAGGATCAGAAAAGACCGATCAACTCCTGTCATTTTATAATTTATGTTACTTATATGTTTGGAAACAAATAAATATGAAAAAACATTAAACAAAGTCATTAAACTGGTTAATATCATAGTCTGATCATAAATAACACACTTAAATACACTGTTCAGGTAAATAGAAGAACTTTAGCCTTAATCTCCACACTAATGAATTAAACAGCAGTAAGTAAATCATAAACTTCTACATATGTAAATACACAATTCTATATAATAAGGAAATTCAATCATCATTCATTAAAATAAAAATCTTCTTAGCATTTCATATAGGTGTAACAAAATTTGTATTCAGACAGATATGGAAAAAATGGAATAAAAGTACCTAACCTCACACTGGTATATACACACAGATTGCCTGTAACTGTTCCCACCACACACTGGTATATACACACAGATTGCCTGTTACTGTTCTCACCACACACTGGTATATACACACAGATTGCCTGTTACTGTTCTCACCACACACTGGTATATACACACAGATTGCCTGTTACTGTTCTCACCACACACTGGTATATACACACAGATTGCCTGTTACTGTTCTCACCACACACTGGTATATACATACAGATTGCCTGTTACTGTTCTCACCACACACTGATATATACATACAGATTGCCTGTTACTGTTCTCACCACACACTGGTATATACACACAGATTGCCTGTAACTGTTCTCACCACACACTGGTATATACACACAGATTGCCTGTAACTGTTCTCACCACACACTGGTATATACACACAGATTGCCTGTAACTGTTCTCACCACACACTGGTATATACTCACAGATTGCCTGTTACTGTTCTCACCACACACTGTTATGTACACACAGATTTCTCACCATTCTGATATATATGTGCACACTCTTATCTGCAGATTCACTTTTGCCAACAGTAGCTTTTTTTAATTTCAGAGCAGTGTTCATTGATCATTGAAATATCTCCTACAAAAATGTTGTACCAGTGGCAACCCTATACAGTGACACAATGACACAATGACACAATGCAGTATTTAGTTATAAGAATGGAAAACAGCCGGTCACAGTACACCTTAAGAACCTACTCTAATCTCTTTCTAATCTCTCTCACTGCCATTTCATACTTACATATTTCTTGTCGGAACACTAACCCTCCCGTAATCAATAAATATTGTGTGATCTGGGTACCATGTCTAACTTACAAACCAACATATCAATTTGATTTCCGTCAAACGTTATCTTCAGAAACCATTGTTAATGGGGAGAAAAGCCTGGTATTTCTTCACACAGGACTTTAAACACAGGCAGTTTGATTTCAAAAGGGATACCAGAAACTGGTACCAAATATGCTCTCCAAATTCATTGTATCAATAGAAATAAAATTTTATCAGAGCAAATCTTTATTTCACACACCATCAATAACTTGGCGAAATCTGGACACCTTGTAACTACCTAAACAAAGTATTGGAATCCTTTGTGTATATACAACCTTGCTGGTAAAAAAGACTGTAAAACATTCAGTGCAGGTACTTTGGTCGCAG